TTTGATGCTAAAATGTTGGAAATGGCACATGCCAGCTCAGCTGGAATCAATGAGGCTGTGTCAAAACTAGAATCTAATCACAAAGAGCAACTAGAGAGTCTTGCTGAGGCTCACAGGAGGGAGTTGGAAGAAATTACCTGGAGTTGGGAAGAGAAACTCCATCAGCAGCAGGTTGAAGAGCTCCAGGAAAAGCATGAAATGGAGCTGCAAGCGAAGGAGCAGGAAGTTGGAGACCTGAAACAGAAACTTGCCACCTTCAGTGCTGAGAAGGAGGGCTCCAGAGCAGAAAGAACCCGACTGAAGGGAGAACAGGTGACAAGGGAGGAGTCCCTGAAGGAACTGCAAGGACAACTAAGGCAGTCAGCATTGAAGGTGAATGCTTTGTCAGATAAGGAAAGTGACCTGAAAACACAGTTGAAAAAATTGGAATGTGATCTTAATCAGGCCCTGAAGGAGCAGTCAGGACTTGAGGAACAGCTCAGTGAACAGAAAGCAGTTGAAGAAAAGAACAAAGCCAAAAATACCGAGCTGGCTGATGAAAGAAGACTAAATTTAAGCTCCAGCTCCGATTATTTAGTGAACGTGCTATGGTTAGGTCCTTGGGTCCTTGAGCAGTTTGTGTTCCAGATGGAAAAGAGGGAAGTGAGTGAATGAAGTTTTAAGCTTTACTAGAGTTGTGGTGGTGGTTTTTTTTTGGTTTTTTAAGGATTTAAAGACAGTGTTTATAGGTCAGCCTCCCTCCCTAGCTCCTTTCTCTGAGGCTCTGTCCAGATAGACACCACGGCCCTGAAAGTAAGGTTCTGTTCTATGGGGGATGCCGTCTGTTTGCATAGTTTCTGTGCTAATAAAGCTTTCGTTTTTACTTCTAAGTGAACAGTTTGTCTGCATGATGCTTGCAGACAAACCTAGTTTTGCTCCAGTAACATTTCAACCAGGAGTTTGCAGCGAACTTGGTTCTAAAGATACTATTGTAAGATTCTATGGTTCTTGATGTAAAAAACCTCTGAGAAAAAACACCACCCCCAAAAATACATCTCAAATTAAGAGGAAATAGAAGGAGCTGAGTATGCCAGGTATTGAGGATTTTTAACTAGAGGTCTATGACCATCTATTTAAAAAACTCTTAGGAAAGGTTAATTGTTGATGTATTTTTGACGGCATTTTTGTCATGTGTTCTTTAAGCTTACGTGTATAGAATAGACACGTGTACATACATACGTGACTACATAGACATGCGTAACATTTGCTGTAGATACCTGCGTGTTTATAGACACATGTACCCCCATTTCCTTAAGTAGTTTAGGGACAGTTTTTAATTACACAGTTTTTAATGTCTTTTGCTTTCATCGAAGGAGATTATGTTTAGCTGAAAGCTGTCAATTAAGCTTATTTTAGCTGCGCGTGAACACCATTCATCATTTGACTGTTCTCTATCTAGATTCATGTACTGGAAGGCCAGTTGCAAAATTATGAGAAGAATGTGAACGTCACCTCAGCTGGAACACCATACAGACTTAAGTACACTGTTTTCATCACAAGTTGTTTGGTTTTTTGGAAGATACACTTTGGTTTGGACAATTTACTAAAATGTCGGTCTCTTTAAAACACTTGTATCACACTTTTATGGCATCTTATCCTCGTTTTGTCTTCTCTGTTCTAGTAGAGCTGGTGTGTGATTTTAGATGAGCAAGTCACGTTGGTGTTGGGTTTTATGTCATGCAGTTAGAAGAGCTCTGTGTCTCCCTGGGGAGAGTGGTATAAGCAGTGGCACTCAAAAGTGGGTAGGGAGGAATTACCCATTTGTCTTGGCTAATTAGATACACGCATATTATGACTTTAAAGCTCTTTTACAATACTGGATTTTACAGATCTGTCTTGTGTTATGTGCTTTGACATTTACTCTTCTTGTGATTAGAGTTCCTTTGCAAGATGACCTGCTTGGACACAGTAATAAGTAAAATCCCAGTTCCCCTTGTAATCTTGGTAATATGTGTCCTTGAAAGTGGTTTTGGAGCTGCAATGCCCTGGCATTTCAGGCAAATAACCGTCTCCTCGTTACTGGACTCACGGTGCGTGCAGGGAATAGAACAGCAGAGTGACCCCGTGTCATGCCGAGCGCTCTGCAGGAGCAGCTCTGAGGCGGGTCTGAGGGGTCCCTCCAGGAGAGCAGCTCTCTGCAGAGCAGGTCCC